GCGCACCACCATGCCCAGCTAATTTTTGTATTTTTAGTAGACACATCAAATTTTTGTATTTTTAGTAGACACAGGGTTTCACCATGTTGGTCAGGCTGGTCTCGAACTCCTAACTTTGTGATCTGCCCTCCTCACCCTCCCAAAGTGCTGGGATTATAGGCATGAGCCACCGCGCCCAGCGTGCCATGTGTTTTTATAACCACATTGCGGTCAGAATTATGGACAGTATTTTTGACTTGTGGTGTTTTTTCCAGTTTACGTAAAAAATATATGATTACCACTCTGTAAATTTTTGTCTATTATTCTGGTACTATGCTTAGGTTAAGACAGCTAACCATTAACTTTAGTTTTCAGAATGTTTTTGATTTTTAGTGATAGTTGTATGAGCACACTATTGCTCTGGTTATTTTTAAATCTCACTGAGATAGACTTCAGGTTGTTAATGTAAGTATTTTATAGCTTTGGCTGAACTTCCTACAAGAGTTGTGGGTCTTGATACCTGAGATCCGCTGGTTGATCTCTCTTAATGGCAGTTAGATTTCAATTTTGTGGGCTATAGGACACAGATCTCTTTGGAAATGGTCTGTTTAATGCATGATAGCTTTAAATGCAGAGTTTAAAAAACGGGCCACCGTGTAAAAAGAAAGTCAGTCTTCTAGAGTTCACTACCTTTCTTAGTTTGAAAGTTTGAACCAGTCTAAGTTTTTAACTTTCCATAGGGCCTGGTAATTTGAGGTGAAGGAAACTAATGTGAACTTTACATTTTCATTTCAATATGAATTCCAAGCCAATGTGCTTTAAGGATTGTCACAAACAGATTATGACTGGACAGGAAGGGTAGCTCCTCTTGGTCTTGAGTGACAAGCCCTGCCCTCTGCCCGTAGTTGAGAACTCAAAGCATTGTTAAATAGCACTAAAATGAGCTGAGTCCAAGACTTCAGCCAGATGGTCAATATAGGGCTTTTAAAGGAAGGGAAATAGGAAAAGAGTAATCTCAGAGGCACTCTTATGTTAAAGAACTAAGAAAATTAAGACCTTCTGAAGCTAAGTGTAAATTATACCACTTTCTTTGGCAGCAAAAGCTGCTAAATACAACACAAGAAAATGACAGCGTAGGAAATCAAAGTTCAGGAACAAACCTTCAAGTGTGGTTTTCTAATGCTTAATCCTGTCTTATGCTCTTCTCAGGATCCATTGCTCCTTTTCCCTCCCCTTTCTCCAAGGTCTGTTTGAAAGGGATCTTGATGGGATAGGAAGGCAGCTTTGGACAGAGCATAAATTAGGGCATAAGATGTCCTTTGTACAAGAATTATCTTAGACATGCTTCTGAAAACATGCTTTTTTTGGCATTATTAAGAAAATAATCAAAGGTATGATATTTTAAGTCTTTGAGTTTAGTCTGCTTTCAGTAAAAATAAGGTATAGGTACCAAAATAAGCAAACCTCGTTTTTACTTTCCTGGTTTCTGCTTATAAGATTTACACATATTTAAAATAAACCCATGAAAAACAGGAATCGTGTCCTGGGATTGGTTAAATAGAGCAATTACCTCCAGGCTCCCAAACTCAACTGAGCTTGACTTTTGGAAATAAATTTGTCCAAGACTTCGTCCTCATTCTCTTTTATAAAGGCAGACATGAAATGATACTGACTTCTGCCAGAAACCCCAGGAATCCTACTCAGTGATATACTTGTAATGGTCATGAAAGAATAAAAACACAGATGTGAATTAAGGTAGAAAAGTACACAAAACACTAAATTTTCATTGTGCTGTTTCATTGTGGCAGATTCTTTAAAATACTTTGACATGCTACAATAATTAAAGGGCTTAAGAACATTGAGTTAAGATACCTAAGAAAAAAAGCCCACAATTGAATAACAAAAATGAAGTTTGTTTTATTTTTTTATTGGCATTAATCTATGTTGCCATGGTGAAAATATTTTGAAATACTTCACAGTAACAGTTTTGTGTAGCCCTAGAGATCAAAAACAGCAATGTAAATAAACAGGACTTTTAAAGACTCATACTCACAGACATGTTTAATGTAAATGATTGCTAGAAGGGAAGGGCATTTTCTTCAGTGCTGAAATGTTAATTGACTTGATTTTGGCAGTGAGAATTGTACAACTCAGCATTAATAAGTCAAATTTAAAAATATTTGCTCATTACTCTGGATTATGACTATTTCAAAAAAATACTAATTTCAAACACTAATCATTTTAGGTAAATGTTTTTTACACATTTATGGCATCAACGAGTATGACTGTAACATTTTACCTATAAAGGTGAACTGTTTTATATACTTTCTATGGAAACACGGCCATAAATTAAAAGATGCAACTGTTTTGAATATTTTACTGGTGGTCCTGTGTTTTCCTGCCAGGAGTGCAGCTGTTTCAGGTTTCTCAGGATAACATATAAAAAGCTGTATGCACATTGCAAGTTTGTGTTCAAATTGCCAAGCCAGATATGGTATGACTCAATTTTCCCAGAAGCAAGCTGAACCAAAATGTGATGAATCAAAATAGTTAGTTGCACAGTGGTTTATATTACAGCTATGAAAAACAATTTTCATTTATGATGGTTGGCTTTTCAAGGTTGACATACATTCTACTGTGGTGCTTGAATTTTACCATGAGTGAACATCTATTGTAGCTAAGACTATGCTTTTCTTTTGAGGATCTGAGGAAACAAAAGGGTAATACATCATCATCTGGTGTGTGGTTAAAAATTAGCTGGAACCTTGTATCAGGAATGGAACATTTCAAGTTACCTATGAACATATTACTTATTTGTATGATGGTTATTGAATTCCCTGTGAAGTCAGATTAATTTTTAGACATTTCTGAGGTAACTTAACATTTATTTCATTTCTCATGCATCAGAATCTTAACAGTTGATATTTTATTGTGTCTTGGGAAGTAATAAGCAGATAACTTTATGGCCATGGGGTAGGTATGGTGAATCCCTATTTAAATCCTATGCGACCTAAGATTCTATAAAGAATTTAACAATAACTAATTTTTTTTTTTTTGAGACAGGCTCTTGCTCTGTTGCCCAGGCTGTAGTCCAGTGGTATGATCTCTGCTCATTGCAACCTCTGTCTCCCGGGCTGAAGCAATTCTCCTGCCTCAGCCTCTCAAGAAGCTGTGATTACAGGCAACTGCCACCACACCCAGCTAATTTTTCTATTTTTAGTAGAGACAGGGTTTCATCATGTTGGCCAGGCTGGTCTCAAACTCCTGACCTGAGGTGATCCACCCACCTTGGCTTCCCAGAGTGCTGGGATTACAGGCGTGAGCCACCGCACCTAGACAATAAGGACTAGTAACAGTAGTCTCCAAAGTGGATGAGGGTAGGTAAGATAGGGTGTAGGAAGAAAATATTAAAACATTGATCGATTGATAGAGTCTTGCTCTGCCTCAGACTTTTGAGTAGCTGGGATTACAGGCGCACGCCACCATGCCTGGCTAATGTTTTGTATTTAGTAGAGACAGGGTTTTGGCCATGTTGGCAAGGCTGGTCTCATACTCCTGACTTAAGGTGATCCACCCACCTTGACCTCCCAAAGTGCTGCGATAACAGGCATGAGCCACCACACTCAGCCAGAACTTTTAAATATTATTTCATCCTTGAAGTTTTCTATTTTTATAATATACTTACTATATTAGTATATTATGTATAAATAAGTATACAAATTTTGGAGATGCATGCTCAGATATGTTTTATGGCTATAAAATACTATCAAAAATGTTTTTGTTCGATAAATATTAATTTTCTTCTTCCTTCCACTTTCCCCTTTCATCTTTGGCAGAGAAGCAAAGACATGAGTTAAAGCCTTGATTTGTGGCAATGTGAATAAATTATAGCTAATTCCAGGAACTTAGCCTGCATCCTAACTTGATTCATTTTTTCGATTAGACTCATATTGCTGTATATATTTTCATTACACAGGTTTATTAAACATGGATACAAATGAAAAACAGACTTGTTGTTATATTTGAAGCTGTAAGTTGCTCATGCATTAAGATCTTGACACACAGGAAGTTTGAATGAATGAGTAAAAAAGGTTCCAAGTTATTAAAATGTTCTGGTACCTGATTTATTCATTTGCCATACCAGTAATTCTAAGGTGGGTGAAGCTCCTTTACTTCCTGAAAAAACAAGGTAGTTTCTTAAACTAAGCATTAAAACAAAGCTGGAATTATTTGCTTCCAGCAATGGTAGTAGTCATGCTAAGTTGCCCCTCTTTGGCTAGACTGTCCGATTTTTTTAGGCCTGTTTTGTCTATTTTTGTCACGTTAGAAAGGTTTAATTGCTAAAACAACAACAACAACAACAAAAACTGTGTGGTTGCAGAAAAAAATGAATTGTTACATTATTCTTTGAGATCAGTAGACTTCTCTGTATTTACTTTTTCAGACATTATTTTAAACTGAGGCTCAGTCGCAGAGATTTCTTCAACATGTAATCTTCTAATGTTTCCTTTCCAGAAAGGAAGGAGACAATATATTCTTGGAATATTGAAGTACTTTTGAAGTAACTCCTATGTATTCTCCCCTCTTCGATTTGTTTAGGTATTTAGGGCTTGCTTTCAAACATATTTATGTAGAAATGTCAGTAATACAATAGTATTTTGATACTGTGTATTTCTTAAGCATATACTAGGAAGAAGGTGTCCAAAACACAGCCAACAAAACAAATCAGCTCTGAAAATTGTGAAGCAGTGAATATTTTAGAATTATTTTTGAAACCTCTTTCAGAGCTGTTTTTAGACCCCATGGCAATTTATTACGTAAGTTTGTACTAGTTTAGGCACTACAAGTACAGTTGGCATGTTTCCTTTCGAAAGGTAATAATCTATTTATAATAAAAGCCTGAATATTTCAATCTTGGAATTCCTCTTTAAAACCTGAATCAGTTTTACTACTGCTTTTTCAAATGTTACCAATTTATATTTGCTTTTTATATCAATGCTGTACTTCTTGTTTTGTTTTAGGTATTTAAACCATGTCAGAGCTGCCTCTCCACAGGACCTTGCTGGAGGCTATACTTCTTCTCTTGCTTGTCACAGAGCACTACAGGATGCATTCAGTGGACTTTTCTGGCAACCCAGTTAACCGTTTATAAGATTTGGACCTTGGAGCTGAACCAGGGAGCTAGCGAAAGTAACGCAGACTTGTAAAGTTATAGCTATATGCAGCTGCACAACACAGTTCTACCACTAGCAGCTGTGTTAAAGTATATAAAGAGATTTCAGAACTAAGATGAGTAATATAAGGAATATATATTTGTGAAAAAGATTGTTTACTTATATTTTTCAGAGGATTTGACACAATAAGCCTCATCTGATCGAAGAGAGGAATAAATAATTCACCTGTATGTGTTTGAGGTTGACAGACTTATAAAATCTTTTTAAAAAATAAAGCTAGAATTTATATTAAGTTCTGTGGTTTTTCTCTTATTGCAGTGTTTTACTTCAACACATTTTAAATACCATTTTGATTACAACATTTATTGTTAATATCCGTCTATTATTTCTTCTCATAAAATGTTCCCCTTTTTCCTAATGTGTTGTTAATACTAGTCCAGACAAGTGGATATATTTCCTTTGACCAAGTTATGGCAAGAAAAACCTGACCCATGATAATGGCATTCCCTCAATGCTAAGGACTCAATGCCTGTTTTAAGCAGTGGAAAATGAGGCAAACTTTGATCAAGGTATTATAGTTCCCAGCTGTGAGCCACACTCAGGCTAAAACAGAGCCCAGTATTAACCTGCTTTAATGACACATTCAAAGAAGTAAGTTAATAAAATTTAATACTTAAATGACACCTTTCACCTCCAATGTAAGCTCGCTTTATGATGAATCCTTGGAGACTGGAGAAGGTACATTTTCAGTAGAATTTCCCTATGTATAAATTGTATACTGATACAGTTTTTTGTTGAAACTTCAAAGGATTTTATTACCAGAGTTTTGCTTAAAGAGTTTAGATTTGAAAAGGATGATATTTGCAGCATCTTAACCTTGTATGAGTTTGTTACATAGACCATTGGATATGGGATATAGTTTCTTAAGGAAATTAAGGGATTTCCTATCAAATCTCTATTACAACAGATGTTAGTTTTATAGATAGAAACTTATGTGAAACAGAACTTGTGGTTTCATTAGCATGGACTATCCATATGTAACAACTCCCTCTTATTTTACTAAGCAGGTATTAATTAATTTTAGGAATACATCTTCATCTTTATTGTACTTCTACTATCTTTGATAAATGAGAAAACCAAGGCATCAAATAATAGAGTAGACAAAGATCATATCCACAAGTTAGTAAAAAGCCAGAATTAGAATACAGGGTTTTTTTGTTTTTGTTTTTTTTAAATTGAAGTCCAGTTCCATCTACACTCTACCAGACTGCATATCCTATTCCTTTATCTATTAGGTATTCCCCAACTTGAGGATTAGTGTTTTTAAGTACAGTCTGTAAATCTGTTCAAAGAATAGTTAGAACATTGAATGTACAGTTAAAGCTTTGCAGCAGCCAACTGCAAAAATAAGGAATCCAATCTTTTGAAAAGAAACACTACTGCTTGTTCTCATACCTTTTATAAATGTATTTAAAAGGAATGAATGAATGAATAAAACATATCAAGGGTTTTAAGACTTGTTTTGAGCCTGCCTTATTGTGGAAATTGCATACACCTGGTTTGGCAAATAAATTCCAAAACCTTTATACATTTGTAAATATTTTGCACTTGGTATTGCTGTACTTTTTTCAGTAGGCCAAATTTAGAAGTGAACTGACCTTATCTGATCAAAGGGAATGGTGAAAAATAACCTAGTGACAATTCACTGAGGTTTAGTGAATTCACTGAATTTACTAAGCAACAGAAATATTCTAAATTGAGGTGCTTATCCCCTACCCTCCGAGTGATTTACTCTCAGAGACAAAGGCTGTACATGGCTTTCATCCACATGAATTAAGTCTTCAAGTATTTTATGAGTACAGAAGTAACAGTTAATAACTACTATATTACCTGTGTCCCAGGCACTGTGCTTCATGCTTTCTTTATTACCTAATCCTCAGAACAGTTCTACTATTTTCCCCATTTTAACAGATGGGGAAGCTGAGACAGAGGTTAGGTAAGTTGCCAACAGTCATATAACTAAAAAATAGCAGAGCTAAGATTTGAACTGAGGCAGCCAGACTCCAGAATCCATGCTCTAGAGATGACTGTCAAACAACAGCTGTGCTAAAACTAGTCCTGTGTAGTTGAACTTCATAAGACTTCCAGGAAGTTCTACAGATCAAGTATCTAGATCTTTTATGGGATATAAATGACATCAACTAAATGAACTCATTGATGTCCTAAGAGAAGTTCTGACAAATTCATGATGTAGAAAATGATTTTACTAACTGTACTTCCTTTTAAGCAGATATTAATGGTACAGAATGCATTTACATCATAGTTAGTATGCACGATTACTTAGTATTCCTTAATTTGATTCAATGAATATTTCACCTACACTTCTCTTAGAAGCTGTCTTTAGGCGGTCAACAGGTTGTCAGGTAATTATTTTAAAATCCAATTAAGGTGGCAGAAAACTTGTTAAAAAGTTAACAAAATTAAAAATTGTATCTAATGAGCTTTCTAGCTTTCTAGCTGTCATTTTCTAGTAGATTCATCAGGAACTCATTTACTAGGTATCGTATCTGAAAGTTTAGGGTGGACCTAGATTTAAATAAAGGATAATCACATATTCACTTATCCACTCCGAAGGAAAAGGGGGAAGTTAAAATGTTAATTGATACATTTAGGGATTCTGTTTCCTTTGCAATTACATATTGCATATTTTGTCCAGAGTAACTAAAGGGAGACAAGACTCTTATCACTTTACATATATGAATCAGAATATCATTTGCACACATACTTTATAACCTAGGACATCAATGTGCTATACTTGGACTGAATTTCAAAACAATTTGAATGTAATTCCTTTAAGGAATGAGGACTCAAGTTTATTACATCCCTATACTCCTTACCATTTATTGCCTTCATTTGTTTACATGACCTGCCAGACTTCTGAAGGCATTTGAATTTGTAATTACTTATCTAGATTAGGGTTCGTAAACATTTTCTGTAGGGCCACATAGTAAATATTTTAGACTTTGCAATGGTAACAAGCAAAATCGAGGATATTACTTACAGAACAAGGTAAAGCAAATTGCCCCACTTTTTTTTTTTCAAACTGTACCAGCTTTATTAAAGATACTTTCCATAAACAATCATGGTATTTCAGGCAGGACAGGGCAGACAATCATTAACAGTATATAACTTTCAATGGACTACCAATAACTTTCTTCAATGGACTACCAAAAAGCAGAAAGCCACTATAAAACCCAATGAAATCTTCATCTGATGCTCTGAACAGGGATAGTTTAGAGCAAGGGTTGACATTTCACATTTAGAATGTTGTTTAATAACTTTTCACAAGCTGGCCCTTTCAGGAAGTCAAAGTTATCTGAAGAGCCACAATCTAGAAATGGAACCACTTCTCTTTTGACAGGTGCCATCTCAGTGGCATCACTGGGAAAGTCCAGATTGCCTGACACTGGTAACCAATGACTGGGGGTCAGGTCCCAACAGATGTCTGGGCTTAAGGGAGTTAAGTCTGTGCTGAAAGATGGAAAATGAGGAGAGGACATAAAAATGAATTTCTTTTTCCATACCACAAGGCTTCTGTGCCAAGGTGGTCATGTGTGTCAAAGGGAATCCCTCCTCCTAAGAGCCAAGAGGAAGTCTCTCAAAACTAGAAGGGAAAGGTGTTTTCCCCACATCAATCCAGCTTTGGAGGCATTCTATTAGTGACATATGTCCCTTCCCCCAAAAAACAACAATGAATTGTTCTGTGTGCTAACAACATAGCTTAACAACAAAAAAAAGGAAAGCAAAATTATAAAACTGACTTAAAAAATAGTATTTTAAACTGTACAGTCACCAGTATACAGTTATAAAAAATGCACACACTTCACTTGGCATATCCAGCACCTTCAGTTTTCTGTGCCTGGCCTGTTTTGGTATCCATTTCTCTGCAGTTATTCCTCTCCTTGCCAGTGTCAGCTTTTCCCTTTTTCCCTGTGGGTACCTTTTCTCCCTTCTTTGCCGGGGCCTTTTTAGGCCTGGGCTCTAGCTTTGGAGGCAGGTTTAGCAGACAGCCTCGCAGATCTTCTCTGTGGTTTGTCCTTCACCTTGGCTTATTCTCCTTGAGTATCCCCTTCAGCCTTTCTCTTGGACATGGTGGCGGTGGCGATGGCAGTGGTGGGACGTAGGCGCTGGGTGCTGGATGCAGTGGCACACGGGCTTTGGTTGGATGGGGTCGTTCTCGCCTCTTCTTCAGACTGCTCCTACACTTTTTTAATTGACAAAATTCAAAATATAGTCCAATTTTTTGTAATGCCTTTTTTGGTGAGAATAACATTGCCTTTAATTAGGGTTCTAAGTAAGTGTTCCCTGTGACCAAAATCAGTAGTAAATGATTACCTGTTAAGGATTATCATTAGCCATCATTAACCATTAATACTAACGGTAATGAGATTTTACATATTTTATCTTTAGAAATATCTTCTCATACAGATACGTATTGCCAAATACTGCTATCAATCCAGGAGCACATGAAATTAATTGAGTATATTCATCACTTGGAAAGCATTTACAAAATTCTATTAGATTCTTCCCTTGAAATTTGCCTTGTAGCATGTCATTATTTTAATCACTTCTTACTGAAAATTAGATTGCATAACCTCAATTGCAGTTGTATAGATTTTGAAATGGAGGAATTTTCTTTGCATGTGCACCAAGGTCCCTAAAAGTGCTGAACTCAGAAAATATATTTGCTACAATTTGTGAGAATGGAAATCTTGCTTCTTGTTTTATCTTCTGATAGCATGACAAATGTGTAAAGATACTGTGCTTCAAATATTTGATTCAAATATTGGTTGTCAAAATGACTGTACCATAGTATGTTTCATATTAAAGTTGTTTTGCCTTGTGTTTTAGGCCATTCTTGCATTGCTGTAAAGAAATATCTGATACTGGGTAATTTTTAAGAGGTGTAATTGGTTCTGCAGGCTATAGGAAGCACAGCACTGGCATCTGCTTCTGGGGAGGCCTCAGGAAGCTTTTACTCATGGTAGAAGGCAAAACAGGAGCAGGCACTTCACATGGCGAAAGCAGGAGCAAGAGTGTTGGGGACGGATGCCACATACTTTTAAACAACAAGCTCGTGAGAACTCATTATCGTGAGGACACCCCCAAAAGGATGGTGCTAAACCGTTCACGAGGGCCACAGCGAGGGGCTCACACCTGTAACCCTAACGCTATGGGAAGCCAAGATGGGAAGATCTCAAGCTTAGGAGTTCAAGGCTACATTGAGCTGTGACTGTGTCTTTGCACTCCAGCCTGGGCAACAGAGCAAGACCTTGTCTCTAAGTAAAAATAAAAATAGATTCAAAAAACCGGCTGGGCATGGTGGCTCACGCCTGTAATCCAAGCATTTTGGAGGCCAAGGCAGGCGGATCACCTGAAGTTGGGAGTTCAAGACCAGCCTGACCAACATAGTAAAACCCCGTCTTTAAAAATAAAAAATAAATAAAACAAAAAACCATCCAGAATCATTTTCTAAGTGACTATTTAAGTTGCTTTCAATGTCCTTAACTCTTTGAGCAACTGTTCTTGCCAAAGGCCAGTTGTCTTTATCAAGTTTCTTTTCTCTGGACACGTTACTTCGGCTGCTGCATCCAAACACAACTAACTCACCCTGAGTAAATGGCTTCCCTTGCTTGGCTAACAAATGATTCACTTGGAGACTTACTTTGGTTGCAGCTTCATTTTCATGTTGTGAAGAAAGTCTGCTTTGATATTTCCATTTTAAATTTTCTAATTTTTCTGACAGTTGCTTGCCTGTGAGTTGGGAATACTGTGATGAGTGGTTTGTCTGGTAATGTCAACAGTTATTTTACTCTTTTAGCATAGCTCTAGATGCTTTGTCATCTAATTCAACATCAAAATAATTTACACCCTACTGTATTTTAAAAATACAACAAATTCCACTTTTCTTGTTTTGTTATAATATGCTCCGGTAATAAAAAATGTGGGTTCATGTGATATACATGGCACTCAGAATGCTGTTGTTACAACCACATCAGTGATTTGTGATGTGCCAAACAGAAGTGTGAAATGATGACAGTCACATTCAGTAAGTGTTGCAACCACTCAACTCTGCTGTTCTATCAAGAAAGCAGCTGCAGTCCTCACTTCAGCAGCACATATACTAAAAAGCTGGAACAATATAGAGATTAGCACGGTGGTCCCTGTGCAAGGATGACATGCAAATTCATGAGCGTTCTATATTAAAGACAAAAAACAGCTGCAGATGATATGTAAACAAATGAGCATGGTATGTTCCAATTATATGAACTCCGAAACTCTTAATATCATACAATTTTTTTTTTTTTTTTGAGACGGAGTCTCATTCTGTCACCCAGAGTGGAGTACAATGGTGTGGTTTCAGCTCAATGCAAACTCTGCCTCCCAGGTTCAAGTGATTCTCCTGCCTCAGCCTCCCGGGTAGCTGGGACTCATGCCACCACACCTGGCTAAGTTTTTGTATTTTTAGTAAAGACAGGATTTCACTATGTTGGCCAGGCTGGTCTCAAACTCCTAACCTCATGATCCACCCACCTCAGCCTCCCAAAGTGCTGGGATTACAGGCATGAGCCACTGCGACTGGCACAATTCAATTTTTAAAACTGATACATAGTAATGTCATACAATTTTCACATATCACAAAATGTTCTTTTATTTTTCAACCAATGGAAAATATAAGAACATTATTAGGTCACAGGCCATATGAACACAGGTGGTGGGCAAGATTTGGCCTGCAGGATGTAGTTTGCCTGCCCCGTTCTAAATAACTTCATGTTTTGTTACTTTTATGGTGATAGTTAATTGGTAGTAAAGGAGCAGTAATACAAAGGACAACTACAAAGTGGTGTTAGTGCCTTCCTAGTCAATACTCAATTACCCTGCCATCATAAATGATTTTCCCTGAAAGAAAATATTTAATCATATTTATCTGATAAAAATTGCATATAATTTAGATTATAAAATAATTACATAATTTAGATAATAGGGAATGTGTTTGGTAGACTTATTTTAGTTAAAGTTTAATTCGTAATCCTTAATTTATAAAATAAGGCAAAGTATAAGGGTTTAATAGTAAAAACTGAACACTAAAATTTTATTTAATAATACAAATTATATTTTGCTACACTAAGTCTAGCAGGGAGATGGAGAAAACATTTCCAATTAAGTGTTTGAAGCAATTTGTGTTTTTTCATCTGAAAAGGCTTCAGCTGTCCTCTGCCTTTTAAGAGGCGGATCTTCGCAATTCTCTGTAACAAATCCAGAAAACCTATTTTAGGTAAGATATTAACAGTTGAAGATACTCTTAAAAAACAAACAATATAGGCATTTTTAAGATGTTTAGTCAACATAGACATGAAATAACATTCTTGCAGATTTACTATTTTAATGAAAGAGCTATTAGACTGAACTAATACTGTACTAAAATTTGTTAAACAAGGAAGAACTAGTCACAATTGAATGGCAAGGTTTACATTTAATTTTCCAGAAACTGCTCACCTGGATTTCTGGTCTGGTTCTTGTAGAGTACAGCAGCAGGAATCTGAAAGGTGATGCACAGCATTTCCTTGTTTGGGGCCACATTTCTTACCAGGTGAACTGAACTGCATGCCTCCAGTGAAATGCCTAACACAGCTCCAGCTCTTTGACGAACGTCTTCAGTAGGGTTAGCATCTTTGGAAAAGCTGTAACAGTGCACTATGGGAAGTAGTTCACTGCTGCATGGCTGCTCATCTAAAAGTGATTTGAAAGCACTAAGAAACTCTATAGCTTTTGCTGGCAAATTCATGACAATGTGCACAGAGGGTTTTCTTTCTTTTGACAGACTCAACAGCTGCATTAACTCTTCTTTGATGGGTCCTTGGAGGAAGTCCTTCCCATCCAAGTTGAAGACTTTCACATTTTGGTCCACTTTATTTAATTTACAATTGTGCAATAGCCACTTATGGGATTCAGGATTGAGATCATTGGCAAATACAGTGCAGTTTTTCTTTGCTACTGGAATGGCAAAGGGCCCAACCCCAGCAAAAACATCAAATAGGACATCCCCAGGCTTGAGAAGTTCTGTGATACGGCTGTGTTCTGTAGAGAGACGAGGATTCCAATAGACTTTTGAAAAATCAAACTCATAGGTGTAGTTGTTTTCTCGAACCTGAAGAAAGGTGTTATGCTTTTGGTTAATCTCCTTGGTCCTAAATCCTAACCAGTGATATTGGATAGGTGTGTATACACACAGGCAAACATATACACATTTAAATTTACTACTGAGAGCCAACAACAGTGCATTTAAAGGCATTTTCATTAGACTCCTGGTGTTTATGCTATTCCTAGAGCCATTTGATACACTGCATTAGACTTATTGGTGAGAAACAATCATCTCTTCAAAGCCAAATGTCTCTTCATCTCGATCCTAAAGGGCCATGATTATAAATTAGTTACCAAATGATATGAGCAATTTTTCAGACTGGCCAACTAACTGGCTTAATTATACTCACTTATGTCACCAGATAGACAAGACCTATAGTTTTGAAACAACACACCACCCATATCTTCATGGTGGGTAGCCAAGTTGTAGACAGTACATCTATGCAGCAAACAAGCGTCCCTCCTTATTTAGTTTTGTGTTTGTAAAAGGGAGCCATGCTAGATGTGTCACTAAATTTTGAGGTATTTTACTATGTTTTTAGACACCTACATGAACTTTGCAAATTTTGTCTCTAAATTAGAGCCAGTGTATAGAATGAATCATTCCCAGATTCTCTTTCCTTTCCCAAATTTGAGTTTTCATGGGTAAACCAAATATATACAGTGAAGCTAAGTCTTGAACAAAAGACTTTGTAACATTTCTTTTGGGTCTACTGTTGTATATACCTTAAAAAACAGAAAATAAAACTGTTACATATGGATTTTTTAGTTCCAAAAGTTACAGTCATGGAGTATGACCTTAAACTCCTTAATTTATGGATGAAGAATCAAAGGCCAGAAAATTCCTAAGTTCTATAAATCTGATAGATACATCTTCCATCATCTGCTTTCCAGGACCTTAATTCCCAATTTGTACGTGTTTTTTCTTTTCCTCCCCCCAACAGATGCTTCTGGCAAATTACTAAGGTTACAGAGGCAGAAACGTTTCTGCAAATTTCTGCCAACTAAAAGTCTTTCTGAGTATAACCTAGAAGGTTTAAATATATTTCGAGAACTGTTTTATACATACTGTTCTATAACTTGCTTTTTGTCACATACTGCTTTCTGTCAATTGTCCATTGTCGGCCTACCAATAGACAACTTATTTTAACAAATATAGAGCTCAAAAAACTTTAATGATGGAAATATTCCATTGTATCACTATATAAGAATTTAACCAATTCTTCTGAAAAGGCTTTATCAATGTTATTCCATCAACAGCATACGTAAGTGCTCACATTCTCACATACTCGTGTTGTAAGTATTTTAAATCTTTGTCATTTATTTTGATTCTAAACTTAATCTTAATATACACCTTACTTGGAGATAATAAAACATACCTTTGTCATCATGTTCTGTTCTCCAGATAGCACTTCCATTTGGAAATTTCGGTATGTATTGTCAATATTATTTATTTTATTTACTGCTGAGGTGATTCCTGGATTTTTGTCAATCATAACCTGGCCTAAAAGAAAAAATGAAAATCCGCAAATACTGCCTATTGGTTGCAAAATAAAAGCTAAAATTGTTAATATGAAACAGAAATGAGTTGTATTTCTTTTGGTTGATAAAAACTGCACCTACAGTGTAACGTGGCATGCAATTTAAAAAATTCAACAGATGACTAAGTTAATATTTGACAGTCGCCAACACACACACACACACACACACACACACACACACACACACACAATGTTGGGTACATTTTTAAAGAAAACATTCTGAGTTTGAGTCTACCTAATATTTTTCCATGTTTAAACAAGGAACCAAAAAGGTAGATCACAAGGAATTGGCGAAGAATGGAAAGAGATGTAAGGACCCTGGCAACAAATGGCCTTGGAAAACAGTAAAACATCTGCCAGTTCCACTGGCCTCAGGCCAAATGTCTGTTTTACTGAGGGTTTGGAACAAATGCCCTCACTTTAGAAATACATGACAGCAAAACAATGTTTCCAAAAAAAGGAACATAGATTCTTCAGAATCCTATCTAAATTAAATGCTCATTTATTTCAGAGCAGAAAAGCTACAGAATTGGCATACTGATGGCCTTCTGATGAATCTATTTTTTTAGTTAACACTTTAAAAAGTTATAAGAATCCATATGCTATCTTATTGCATAAGATAACTTGATTTGTAAGTCAGCACACAGTACCCAATTATAAAATATCCTGAAATACAACCAGCATTTGTCCAATTTCTGATAATCAGATGCTTATTTTTGAATATATCAATAAACGAATTAATCATTGTTCTTTCCCTTTCTGCTTCATGTATTTGAACTCAACTTTTAAGGTACAGAATTTAGTTTGAAATGAGGAATGAAATTTATAAATTAAAAAAAAACTATTCTGAAGGTCTATAGTAAAAGCTTTAAAATTACTATTGTATGAAAATATTTCACTTTTAATGTATGAATGCCTCTATGAAAGAAAGTTTATAAAACAGGAATGCCAGAAGGATGTTTGAATTAGGGTAGGCAGTGACTCATGGGAAAGCCTAGACTTGACATTTGTACCCAGTCGCAATTACAAGGATCTGCTTAGGGATTTATGTTACCACTATCCATTATTACCCCCTTCATCAATAAAAACAAAAGAAATGCATAATAGGACAGTATGCTGTCTGACATACAGAAGAGACTCAAATAGTTGAATCAATGAAAGCATAAGTAAACATCTTGCACTTTTGACTATAAAGTACCCAAATTTATGAAACATAGTATTTAACAGCCCTGTAGGCCTAACAAGACTTGTGTACCAAAAAAAACTTTGCTCAGTGTAGCTGCCAAAGCATGTGATTCAAGTTTAATCTACACTGACGTACTGGTATACACAAAAGCCTGGACCAGTATTTGGAATTTGCTATGACTCTAAAGACGATATTCCAAAATGGCCCTCAAAAGAGGGTATGTAGCTCAAGATCTAGCTTAAAGTTAACATGATAAAATGTTCTACCTCTGTAACTTGGCATTAAAAATAATTTTTTTTTTTGAGACAGTCTCGCTCTGTCTTCAGGCTGGAGCACAGCTGCACGATCTTGGCTCATTGCAACCTCCGACTCCCTAAGGGACTCTCCTGCCTCAGGCTCCGAAGTCGCTGGGACTACAGGCACACGCCACCACATCCAGCTAATTTTTTGTATTTTTAGTAGAGACGAGGTTTCACCATGTTGGTCAAGATGGTCTCGATCTCCTAACCTCGTGATCCGCCCGCCTCGGCCTCCTAAAGTGCTGGGATTATAGGTGTGAGCCACCACGCCAGGCCCCCCCAAAAAATTCTTAAAGCTAAAATTAAAAATTTGCAAATTCTCTTCAAATTCACAAATATTACTACAACACACGTACCAATTAAATGTTTGAAAGGTAGCTGATGATCTCGAAGGTTCAGGTGTGCAATATGTCCAACTCTGCTAAACCCTGAAGTTACATCTTGACCTTCAGGAAGCACAGCTCTCAAGATCTCTTCTGACTTAAAGTTTTCATATGTTAGTTCCAAATTATATTCAGAGATCTGTGGACTGACATTTAATTGCTCTAAAACACTGAGTTCTGCTTCCTCAAAGGAATCATGAGTAAACATTTTATAGGGATCCAACATGATTAGTCTACTTTCTTTATCTTCTGGATCTTCAATTACACGTTTTACACCTGGGCGCTGCAATGCTGCCCTTTTAAGGGATCGCATCAATTTACTGACTACTTCTTTCCTCACTTTAAGCACTGGAATGCTGACTGTCTTTTTAAAAGCTGTTCTATCAAGTTTTGTCATGCCTCGGACATCAGAGGGTGGTGAAAACAATTCAGAGTCTCTCTCATGTGTTTCTATTTCTGGCATGGTTGAGAATATTTTTCTTTGACCCAATAAGAGAATACCAGGTGCTTCTGAAAGCGTCTGTGTCAGGGATGTCCAAGCTAGTGGAATTAATGATTTTGATTCAGTTATGCTATGGCTTCCCAGTTTCACAAGTCTTCTTGAGAATCCAAATGGCCTCCATAAGATCCTAAAAAAAAAAAAAAAAATTCACACACAACAGCTTTTGAGAATAAAAATCTAAATTCTACTATCTCAAATAACCTGCTAAATGCTGACAAATAAAACGTTTAGTGGTGTGTGGAAAGTATACCATCTCTTCCAGAAAAAAGTGACTTTTTTCAGGAAGCCGTATTAGTGGTAGATAATAGTGGTTTATGCTAAATTTACACCTTCAACTCACCTGCTGCTTAGTGAGCCATCAGCCACACTCAATGATCCTCTCCACCCACAATTTTCTAGACAATACATTCGGGATTGGAAGGCTGAAGTATGAGTTAAACGGTCATCTCTAAATGAAATAGTCATTATATATGACCATGACTAGTGGTGATATTTATTAGGATAGTCTCGTGGGTGCTTATTGTGTCACATGTATGCTAAATGCTTTATGCACATTATCAGTTTTGGGAGGTGTGCAGTATTGCACCCTCATTTTGTAAATGAGTAAACTAAGGTAAGGTAACCCAGAAGTAAGGTAACCCACCCAAAGTCTCCCAGCTGGTAAGTGGCTAAGCATGGATTAAAACCTAGTTTTGACTGACTTCAGTGCTTGTATTCTTAATATATTGCTCTGTTGTTTGTTTTCAATGCTTTACTACCACATGTCCTGCCTTTAACTAGAGGTTAGGGCAGTCTAGAGGTTAGGTTAGAGGTTAGTCTGAATTTTGCGGACTAGAGTTTTGCTGAGTGTTAGATGCACAGTATCCGTTATTCACTATCTTTTAAAAATACCAACGAATTTACTTTTAAGGGAAAAGGACCCTGTTGCAGAATCCTGTAAAGCAACTTATTTTAACTTCGCCGTCAGAGTTCAAATTGGGTCTAGGAGCTGACCAGCTGGGTGACTCTGGATAAATTACTATGGGTCTCGGTTTTCCCATCAGTAAAATGTGGCGAAAGGGTTTTGAACCTTTCCTTACTATCCAGTAACTCTGACCTAAGGTCAACACCTGGGCTGGTGGGTGACCTCGTGATGTTTCCGTATTCAGGCAGTACGAGGCGGAGAGCAGCCCCGGGCGGACTGGTACCTCCCTTGGATCATTAGTCCCTACCGCGGCCGCCACCTTACCTAAGCACCATTCCAATTCCCCGCGTCGCTCTGCAGCTGGATCCGCGAGCCGACCCCTCACCTCTCGCTCCGGTACCGCTCGGAGGTGGGTAGTGGCTGGACTGGCGGGCCTTCGATGACATCATCACTGTTCGCCGCAGAGAGGGCGAGCGTCCTTTCCTCCCCGGACCTGGTGGGGTACGGAAAGCCGGAAGGGCCGGGCTCATAGCTCCGCCTCTGGCGCGACTGACGGCAGGAGAGCAGAGCTGGGGTAGAGGCTCCCAGATGGACCTGGTAGTGAGCTGGAGAGTAGCATGGAGGCGTCCTCGGAGAGCTTCAACGCTGAGCAGGGCTGGTATGTCTCTGCCCAGCAGCCTGAAGAAGCGGAGGCCGAAGAGTTGAGTCCGTTGCTAAGCAACGTAAGTGGGCTGTGTTCGCTTCCCGCTACTGGCGCCTTCCTGCTTCCCTTAAGTGCCTGCCAGATAAGACCCGGAAAAGAAGTAGGACCGTAGCGGGACAGGGAGATGCTGGAGCCTAAACCCTGGGGAATGGGGCCTGAAGGCAGCCGCCGAGATGCAGATGAAATTGGCGCAGTTATGAATGTGATAGCAGCCTAGCATACCTTCAAGAAAAGATGAAAAGCCTCAGGTGGAAGAGATGCAGCGTTGAGTGGAAACTGCAAACATGATGGGATGAACGTCCCTAGGATTATGTACTCACTGCTGTTACATCTTTGTCACCTTCTTTACTCCACCGGTCTCATGAGATCTTTGCAGGAGTCCCAGGATTTTCCTTTTCCGACTTAGTCATGGAGGAAGGGAGAGTAATAAACATTTTAATACAGAAATTCTTAGCCGTAGAGTGGAAGTGGCTTGGTAATAAGTCCATAGCACGTTACTGACCCTAAAGCCTGTGCAGTGGGCACTCCGCTTTTTAACTCAAGTCCTAGACACTGTTCCCAGGACTTTGTTCCCCGTGCTGTTTGTGGGGATGGGGGTGTTTTCAGGGATACCGCCAGAACAATGTGAATTGCTTCTATTTCTAATATTGTCATTGCAGGTATACCTGACCATCCTTCCAGTTTGGTAGAACTGATTCATTAGGTATATAAGTAGAGATTAGTTGTGCAGTCCTGGTAATTGAGGAGGAACAACTGTCAACAGCAGTCTCAGGTTGACTCAGCAATTCTTTAGTAATCACATGAGCTAAGGCTATGTCCCTCCAATCCCTCCCCACCCCATTCCTATCCTATCTTCATCTCTTGCAGTCACAAGGTTAGTCATGTCCCTTCCTGAACCCTACCTGTCTTCTGTACTGGTAGAAATGATTTTCCTAAGAAACTCTAGATTCTTGGAGCTGCACTAGTGGGAGGTGGGAAGGAAACTAGTGTTGGTTAAGCAACTAGTGTTTGTCATATAAAGCCTGATGGTTCGCAGCTTTTTTTCATAACCTTTCATTAATGGACTTTCTTCATGAAATTTGAGCTTCACCATCCAAACATTTAACACTACTAAATTCGTGTGCCTACAGGAACTTCACAGACAGGGATCCCCAGGTGTTTCATTTGGTTTCTCAGTGTTTAATTTGATGAACGCCATCATGGGAAGTGGCATCCTTGGTTTAGCTTATGTTATGGCTAATACCGGTATCCTTGGATTTAGGTGAGTCTTCATATTTTGCCATCACTTTTTTTTCCATTTTGATAATATACTGAGAAGTAGAGAGATCAGTTCCAGAAACTGCTATTATACAATTTCTAGTTAAGTAATTTCTGGGGTTTTAGCAGTTTTCTTGCTCTTCTTGTTGCTAGTCTGTAGCTTGGAGGGGTTACTACATAGCTTCTTAAAATTTAAAACTGGGAATTTGGTCCACATTCATTTACAACCTTAAGAGGGGCATATTCGTTGTGTCTCCTTAGCCAAAGTGAATCAAAGCCATACAGATTAACTTCTAAATAGCAATTTTGTGAGTGTAAATACAACACATAATCTTTTCATTCCTTTCTCTCTGTTTGTCTTGTTAAGTAGTCTTATTTCACTTTCTGAGGCCAGGCCTGTGTTTTTTCCCGTTCTTTTTTATTTTTTGGGACTTGGCTTGTAGACCAGTTTGCCCCAAATAGAAGACCATCCTGAATATTCTGTGCTCTCGTAGTACTTTGTATATTCATTCTGTTATTATAATTGTTATAATGATATGTTTGCAAATTAATCTTCCCACTAAACTGAAACCTTTTATAATCGGAGGTCAGGCAGGCAGATCACTAGATCCCAGGAGTTTGAGACCAACCTGGGCAAGATGGTGAAACCCTGTCTCTGCCAAATATACAAAAATTAGCTTGGTGTGGTGGAATGTGCCTGTAGTCCTAGCTACTTGGGAGGATTGCTTGAGCCAGAGAGGTCAAGGCTGCAGTGAGCCATGTTCGGGCCATTGCACTGCAGCCTGGGTAACAGAGCAAGATCCTGTTTAAAAAATTAAAAAAATAAAAAAGTCCTTTATAACCAGACTTTATCCTTAGCGTCTAGCACCACATGGCTAATAGAATGAATGACAACAAGTTGGTTTTGTTTGTCAATAGAAGCAGGCAGATTTACTAGGAAATTTAAAGTGCTAGTCTCTTATAGTTTTATTTCCTGCTTTTCTTTTGAACTTTTTGTTAAGCAAAGCAACTTTTAAGTTACCCGACTTGCTTTTATTATGGAATGTATTCACAAACTTTTATTATTTTTAAAACTTAAAAACTGTGTATGACACTTTAAGCAAGACATAGTCAGAGGACTTATTTTCTGGTTCTCTTTGAAAAATCATATTTTATGCACCAGTGTCTTACATGCAGATATATACTGCTGCATGTGTGCTCATCCAGTCATATCAAGCCTCTTTTTTGGTGATACTAAACTGTTATTTTGTGAAGTTTTTGATGTTGGTTTAATGACATGTATACTTTACCTCTCAATTTTGTTACTTATTAAGAAGTATTAACTGGACCACAGAGAGAAAATTTCTTCAATGACTGGGACAATTCATTGGGGATAGCTCTATAGAAGCTTGTTCCACCACTGTCTTCCTGAAAATAAGTGGGAAATTTTCTGTGGTTTTTCTTTCACACTGTTGGTGAAAGGATCTCAATCATTACATTGTTTGCACATTTTTCAAACTGTGTCTTTAGAGGTGTGTTAACTACATTATTTTGGTTTGGTTTGGAGAGCATGTGTGTTTAATGGATGCTGGAAAATATAGTCTAAATAAATCTTAAATACACCTTAATAAGGTCAAGGTATGATAAGAGGTCCACATCACTGGAAATAGAGGGAGAAAAGAGAAGACATTGATATCACGTAAGTAAAACTTCTATTTAGACTTAAAATAGGAAGAAAACCAGTCATAAAAGGGAAATATTACAAGATTATTTAATGGCTGTTTCAGCAGTCAGCAGACAAGAATGCAAAATGAGGAAGTTTGCTTGTATTTTAAATAAAGCTTGGTTTTTCTTTTTTTGATGTTAAAATGAGTATATTTTTATTTAAATAAAATTTGATAAATACAAAAATGTGGAAAAGTATCTTCTTCCTTAATGAACATAATTCGGTTACTCAGAGATAGTTCCTGTGAATATTTGACTGTTAAGAAATTCGTTTTTGTAATGAGATACCATAAAAAAAGGCAAACTTTTGGGAGGATTTGACCAGGTGTTCTTTTATGTTTTAGCTTCTTGCTGATGACAGTTGCTCTTCTGGCTTCTTACTCAGTCCATCTTCTGCTTAGTATGTGTATTCAGACAGGTGAGTAAAAATACTATCCTGCTTCATTTAATAAAGCAGTCCCTTGAGTTTGTATCTACGTATAAGATTGGGTGTCTCAAACTGAATATCCAGTGAGCATACATTTTTATTAGGTAGGGTGATCGGAATGGAGAATTTGAAAAACCAGGATATATAGACCCAATACTATGAGGGAATATCCAAGCACAGGATGGGAGGAGGTAACTAGCATTTTTACTTGCTTTCTTCAACAACACATAACCTAATTTTCTGCAGTAGAGTAGATTGTGGGAGGATCTAAAAGATGTTCACATGTTCCAAATCTTATGCTTATGGGGAAATCATTTTCTCTAGGAGAACACCTTCCCAGAGCTACTGCTGCCTTCCCTGCCCCCATCTGTCTCCTAGTCAGAGGTAGGGATGGTAGAATTAGGATTGTAGGAAGTAAGGTCACAAAGCTTCAGATTTATTTAGACACATTTTGGATTTTTAATTGCAAATTGAGAATAGGGTAGTTTTTTCTAAGAGAAATAAGTATGTGCAATTAATTCAATATATTTGTATATATACTTTTTTCATTTGGAATTTTATTATGCAATTCAGTCATGTATTGAATAAGTTCTTTTAGGATCCAATAAATAAAAGTAAATGGATTATAGAATTGCTTTTATAAGGTTTTCCTTTTATCATTAACAAATATTCTATGTTCATCAGTCCTTGTCTTTTTATCTGTATAGTCTCTTTTATCTTTGGATTAGGTCAGGTTTGATGCCAAAATCGTGAGTTTAATTCTCATATGGGTGAGTTCATTTTGCTCTGTCCGGCCTTGTGATTTTCGGATTTTAAGAAGCAGAGTAAATACACAAAATAGATAAAAATGGATGTCTTAATTCATTTAGTATTTCTATAAAAGAATACCTGAGGCTGGCATAATTTATAAATAAAAGAGGTTTATTTGGCTCACAGTTCTGCAAGCTCCGCAAGAAGCATAGCCCTTCTTATGAGGGGCTTCTCTGCTCCATCTGCATCTAGTAAGGAGCTCAGGCTGCTTTCATTCATTGTGGAAGGTAAAGGGGAACCAGGGTGTGCAGAGATCACATGGTAAGAGAGGAAGCAAGAGCAAGGAGGGGTGGCCAGGGTCTTTTTAACCACCAGCTCTTATGAAACTAATAAAAGTAAAAACTCATTCATTACCCTAAGGAAGGCACTGAGCCTTTCATGAGGGATACACCTCCAGGGCCCAAACACCTCCACTTCAGCCCCACCTCCAACATTGGAGATCTGATTTCCACATGAGTTTGGAAGGGTCTGACAAACCAAACTATAGCAGTGAGACTATTCTGTACTGAAACAGGTGAGAGAAGCCCAGTGATAGTTCTTGAGTATTTTAAGACTTCAGAATAATTCTGAAATGACTGTTCTAGTTTGTTTTCCTAAAACTTGTCTATCATCAGAAACACCCATAGATCTTTTTATACACAGAGAGTTCTAAGCCTCAGTGATTCTAATTTCAAAAATCTGAGGTGAGACTTGAGAATCTGTTTTTAACAAGACAAAACCAGTTTAGGATCCATAGTTTATAGCTGTAACTTTTACCAGTGCTTTGGCCATCCAATGCTAAATATGTTTTTAACAAGTCCTCCAGGCGATTCTTATGCAATTCTAGTTTAGGATCCATGGTTTATAGCTGCAACTTCTAACAATGCTTTGGCCATCCAGTGCATGCCTTTGCTCTCAAGGAGCTTGGGTAAATGTGCACACAGATAAAAATAATAGGAAACAGTGTAAATGTCAATCCCAAAGTAACAAGTTATTCCTAAAAGCATCCTGAATTCAGGAATAATAGTTTTAGATAAATATATTTGTAAATCCTGCTGAAACTTGAATTTTAATTACATGTATTGAAATTTTGCTTCATGTGAAAAAATTTTTACTTGATTGTGATAGTTTAACATCATTTATTCATTCCATTAAAAGACTAATACTTTTGTCAACTATGTGGCAATTGTGTTTTTCAAGCTTCATTTTAAAACTTCATTTTAGTTTTAATTAAAGTAAAATGTTTTGTTAATTTCAATTATATAGGAGTAGTACTCAATGTGTGGAGATTTCTAAGTAATGTTAATTTTTTTACTCCTTCAGTTCACATGTATTTAACTTTAAGATTCTGACACCATGTTTGTTCTTTTCTGTAATTCTGGGGCGTATGATGTGAATATATCTGTTTCTCTTTCTTTTCTCTTTTTCTTTGATTTCTGTAGCCTACTTGGGCCCATGAACTAACTACTTCATGGTCCTGCCTGCACTTTGACGCACCTGTCTTCCGTTGATTGAATTCCTTCAGTCTGTAAAATTCTCTGTGGAGGTAGGCTTTTCTTTTTTTCAATACCTACAATCATATATAAAGACTAGAGAATAATATGTAACTAACTTCTCCCAACAATTTGTTGGAGTATCATAAAGGAGTATTATGCTCAGATTGAATTCATTGGTAAGAGAAAGAGCTGTCATGAGGTTTTATGAAATAACTTCTTCATTTATTTGCTGAAGGTAAAGAATAAAGAGAAATTTTTATCTTAATAAAAGTAAAGGATATCTTCACATGAAATTCTACTTCAGATTGTCTGGAGAGTTTGGGGTCTGTCAGGACTTTTCATGGGAGCTGAGGTGGCATATAAAGAACCTTATTCTCTCTAGCCTTAGTTTGTCAGCTGTAAAATTGCAATGAGAACACTTCCCTCATAGAATTGTTCTGAGAATGAAGTAAAATAATGTATATAAAATGTCAAGTCCTTGGCAAATGACTGCTCACTGGGGAAAAATCCCTAAGGATTGCAGGGTGTTGTGCACACTACTATCTCAGAAATAGTTGGTTCATTGCCATTCTTTTGGAATACTTCTCATGCTCTGGCACTAAACCCACAGGTCCCCTTCACTGGCTGCCATGTCACTGTCAACTGGAGAGTATGAGGGTTCTAGAGCTCTGCATACCTCTGGCCAAACCACAACTCCCTAGCCCTTGATCCCTACTACTTACTGCCTTGTTGCCAGGATTTGCCTTGAGACCATTTTGATTATGACATTATACCATTTATCTCAATTTGTGTTTGTCATTCCGAGTATATTAGGTTATCTTTCATTTCTCCAACTCATCTCACATAGCCATCATGTTTCTGACATCATCTTCCACTGTTCTCTAACTCGTGAAACACTTCACTGTGCTCTCTGGAACTCACAGTCAGTCATCAGCAAAACCCACATCTTTAATTCTTTTCTGAACATTTCTGTCTCTTTCTTATTCTCAGAGAACCACCTCTGAGGCTTCCATGTATAGTTCTCTCAAGAGGTCACTTCTTTCTCTTTATGTGTCCCATACTGATCTGAAGATGGTATAGGTATCCCTTTTGTACTTCATTTCTGCTTCCTAACCATCTTCCACTCCCTGAATTCCCCAGCTTTGAATTTTATGAATATATACCATCTACAGCTCTCCTTACTATTGTTGTATATAGACTTCCAGACCATTTCCTGTCATTTCATGAAAGTTTTAGCTAAATTTTAGCTTCTACTTGCCTTTTAGTTTCTTCAGAATTACCCCTGTCTTAATTCTGGATGATTACAATATCCATCTGTCTAATCCTTTTAATGCTTTCGGTTCCTGAACGTCTTCTCTAATGATCATATTCTCTACCTACACTGGCCACTTATTTTTTTCCATGGTCATACCATTGATCTTGTCATTACCAAAATAGCATTTGCTAGTATCCGCCCATCTGCCACCACCATCTCCCATGTTTCTAACTCACTGTCTCAAGTACTTCAACGCTGACAGTTTTCAACCCTACCAAGAATTCTTTCAATTCATTGATCCTACCACCTTTGCACTGACCCCCATGCTCATTCTTATTTCCATTTTTATCTAGTTGAGATTTTGTGGTGTTATTTAATCCCTTGCCTGTCCATTGAACCATCATTTTTCCCTGACAAAATTTCAACCATAGTTAAATAACTCTGCCTACTTCACATTTGCACCCATGTATTTGAATGTTCCTGAAGAAAAGCACAGCCATGCAGACTGATAGCACTATATTTAGTGTCTGGTGGACCTATGATGCTATCACACAATTCTGGTTCACTTCCTTAGTTCATCACTTCATTTAGCTCATTCTTCTGCTGTCTAGAAGATTGCTTCTTTATATCTTCTTTCTGTCAAACCTTCAACACTTTTTTCTTTGCCTTCATCTGTAACTGATATTCTTCACTTTCTGTTTCACTGAAAAAATAGAAGCAATCGTAAAAGAATTTTATAAGCTCTTGCCACCACATATTTATCCATGCCCATATAATCTGTTACTTGGGATGAACTCTTTGTGTTTATGTCTAAGGCCAACCCCTCCACCTGTGCTGTGATTTCACCTGCTCTTCCCTATATCACTACAGCCACCTTCTCCCTTCTTTCTTATTTCTTTCCTTTCCTACCATTTCTTTCCTATCACTTTACAATTAGTTCAGTTTCTCTCATGTTAAAAATCTCTGACTCCACATCTTTTGAATATGTTTCATGTCTTCATGGCAGTACTCCTTCATAGAATTGTCTAAACCAAGCCAGGTGTAGTGTTGCATGCCTGTAATCCTACCACTTTGAGGGGCAGATGCGGGAGAATCACTTGAAGTCAGGCGTTTGAGACCAGCCTGGGCAATATGGCAAAACCCCATCTCTACAAAGAAAAGAACAAAAATTTGCACGTGGTGACGTGAGCCTATGGTCCTAGCTGCTTGGGAGGCTGAGCCAGGAGAATCACTTGAGCCAGGGAGGCAGAGGTTGCGGTGAGCAGAAATCACACCATTGCACTTTAGCCTGGGGCACAGGAGTGAAATCCCGTCTCAAAAAAAAAAAAAAAAAAAAAGAATTGTCTAAACCAGATAATTCCTCTTTTCCCACTCCCGTCAGGCTTTTCCACTGAAACTTCTGTACCAGTGACTTCTGCATTGCTAAATCCAATGGTCAGTTCTCAGTCTTC